TACACACAACTCAAGACATCTTAGACACACACTGCCTGTGTGCGTCTGTGCATGTGTGTGTGTGTGTGTGTGTGTGTGTGTGTGTTTCCTGTTGCCTCACTCTTTGCAGATCTTTTCTTGCAGAATATCAGCACAGACACTGATAAAATGATGATGATGATGATGATGATGATGATGATGACAGCCACAGTCAGACCCACAGGCGGCCAATCATCTGCAGCAGATTCAGAAGACGTTTGTTTACACTCACACCTCCTGATACGATATATAATCAATATTTTCTGTCACATTAGTAACACGAGGCCTCTGAGGTGTTTACCAGTGTGAACCTTTACATTCAGACTCAGGGTACGTTGCAGAGTTGCTTTTGCATTACTGTGTTAAACAGTTAAAACCACGTGTTTGGACAACAGCACATCTTTACGTTTATATCTGTAGACCACAGCAGTGGATTTTACATCAAACCATCAACATTTGAGGAAAGTTTTTATTAAATATTTGAAATTAACAAAATTCTTTGATATAAATTCCACAGTGGTCGTGTGCAGAGGAGGATCTTTAGAAACCTGTGGACACAGTGGTATCTTCAGAGGTTTTCTCAGGCTGCTCAGTGGTGAGTGAAGGCGAGGAGGCTGATTGGACGACTGCTGAAACAGGTCAGAGAGTGAAGTTTGGTTTAGACGTGGTTCTTATTTAAAAGCAGAGAAAAAGCAGCCCGCTCACACATCACTGTGTGTCAAAGTGTGTCTCACTGCGAGTCAGGATGTTTGTCACATCACATCTTTGACATCACAGTAGGCAGGTCTGCTGGGTGTATTTTAACTACCCTAATATTCTTCTGTACTATAGCCAACCATTAATATGCGTCCAAACGAGTGCATGAAACCAAGAAACAAACACAAAAGTCCCTCAGAGTGGACTCAGACTGCTGTCTTCAAACGTCGTGACCTTTCCCATCTCCTGATGTTGTAGCACTTTAACAAAAAGGACACATCAGTTTGGAAATGACCAAAGTCAAAGAACAGCTCATTGTTAAAGGTGAGACACCAGCAGCGTCTCATCGATCTGCAGTTTCTGACATCTGGGATAAAAGTGTAAAGAAAGATTCTGAAATTCAGATTTTAAAATAGCATCAAGTTTTGATGCTGCTGGAGAAAAACTGTCAAATTAGATTTTAGTTGCAGAAAAAGTGCAAATCATTGGCTACAGTGTGGCTGTAAGATAACATGTCTGCTTATCTGAAAGCAGCTATCAATGACTGAATTAGCAACATTAAAAACATTTTCAGGGGAAACTCACCGTCTGTGACGCTGATCTCAAAGTCTCTGCATGACCTGCTGGAAGATCCCTCCAGTAAACATCTGTACCGTCCTGAGTCAGACTCAGTCAGCTGTGTGATCGTCACATACAGAATTCCTCCTCCTTTATATTTCTCCTCTGAAGTTCCTCTAAATCCAATTCTGTATCTGTCTTCGAAATAATCTTCATCATAGGTTTGAAGAAGAACCTCATCCTCTCCACATTCTCCTCTGCAGAACATCTTTCTGTTTCCAGACTGATTAAAGGAACATCCGACTGTGAGAGAGCTTCCAGTTTCTTTATCAAAGTGTTTCAGCTGATCATCGTTTCCATCCAGCAGTGCTGTTAAAGACACAAACGATCAATAGTTACTATCAGTGCTGATGATGATGCAGTCTGATCACAATAACTCCAGTTTGACCCACAGTTACACTGGGAGCTGCCCAGTTCAACCAGTCTGTGGCTGGAACAGTGAGTTCAACAGTGATTGAAGTGAATCCTTCAGCTTCAGTCCGACCTCCTCGTGCCATCATCATGACATCATCATGAAACAGTGGACACATGCAGACACTCTGCTAGTGTCACTCTGGAGCTTTCACTGTGTTTACTGTAACTTCAGGGTTAATCCTGTTTTTTAATATGAAGCTGGTTCACTTATTACCTGTTTACATCACTGTGCTAATATATATGCTAAGCTAATCTGCTCCACAGGTTATGTTCCTGATCACAGATCACCAGGAAACCACAACCTACTGTCCAATCAGATCGCTGGAACCGAGACCTCTGAGAGCAGATAGTGGTGTTTGATGTCTCTGCTTCTCCCTGTTGATCCCTGAAGAATATTAATTATTAAATACAAATTTATTCCCTGATTCTTTTTTCTATTGCAGTTTTATTGTTTTATAATCAAAGTATCCTAAAACAAGCAGCTGTTCGATGACCTCACATCAGATTTGCGCAGTCTAACAACTCTAACAAGAGGTGCATTTGAAAGAGTAAAAACTAAAACGTTTCTTTGAAACATGAATTTAATGAAATGCTGATTATGATCCATCAGATTCTGTGTTTTAATGAGCTGAGACATTGATCACTTCAAAAACATAAACTTTATTAATCCAGTAGCTCGTTCACAGTCTTACTGACGGCAGCAACAGTCTGTATTACTGTTTGTGTTTAACCTCTTTATAGTTTTAACTTTCTTTGTAAAATCAGCTGCTCTGATGTCTCCGTGTTTCTGATTGGTCAGATGTTGCTCCCGCCTCTTTCATGTGAACACACTGGCAACGAATGGGTTAACTTAGCGAGCTGGTAAAAAGCTTCATGCTAAATGCTGATGTCAGGTTCAGTGAGTCCACACAGGACTGTGGTTCAGGAAACTCAGATTTAACCCTGAACGCTTCAGTTCCTGTGCAGGTGATCAGAGCAAAAACCCAACATCATCACTGAAACCATGAACAGGACTCACTGTGCCAACAGAGCAGAGCCTCAAATCCAGCAACATGAGAATAACGTGACGTTAAAAACCCCTCAGTGAACACTGTGCAATACAAATATGGATCAAACACAGAAATTCTAATTCACACACAAACCTTTGATTTTCATTTTCAGACTCAGAAACTGAACACAGTTTAGTTCATGCTCATGAAGTCCAGCTCAACCACAGAAAGCAGATCAGCTGATCACTTAGACGATGCCTCAGATATCATATTAGTCAATCTCATATAGAGCTGTTAGTGTTTCCTGCCCACAACCCTGCACCACAGCTTCTGATGAAATAAATGTGTCTGTCTGCTCTGTTCTGTGCACGATTCACTCACATCATCCTGACATGATGGAGATTATGGCACAAATGTTCTTTTCCACAGTTAAATACATAACTGGAGTTAAAGAAACAGTTTAGTAAAGAGAAGTTTTGTTCAGAGAGTCACTGACTGTGAAAACTGATAAAAAGATTAAGTAAAAAACTCAGTTTCACAAAACTTTTCTTCAGACTTTCAGAGACAAAACAGAGAAATCCACATTTCCACAGTTTAAACTGAAACTCACCTTCAGCAACAACAACTTCAAACTGTTTGTATGAAACTGATGATGGAGATTCAGCCACAGCACAGCTGTACTGTCCAGCATCAGGCATGATCAGCTGTGTGATGCTCACAGACAAATGAGGAGCTCCATCCTTTGGTTTTAATTCAATGCTGTATCTGTGACGTCGATGCTCCTCATCTGTTGTATTAATAAGAACATTTTCTCCTTCACATTCTTCTCTGCAGAACATTTTCCATTTTCCAGCAAGAAACCTGAATCCAGCTGTAAGATTTCTTCCAACGACTCCAAATGAAATGTTTTTGTTGTCGGTGACTTCAGCGTTTCCCTCCTGCAGAGCTGTTGGAAACATGAACCATCAACAGTTACTGTTTGTACTTCCTGTAAGAAGCTGCAGTCTGATCACAGCATCCACACACAGACACACTGAGACTAACGTCTGAATGTGAAACACTGAGAGTTTAAACATCATCTTCTGTTTCACTTTTCTCTCCTCACTGATCAGAACAAAGATCCAGTCGTGTTAGAGCTCTGACACCAAACTGTTTGTGATCAAGAGGAAACGAAAAGTTTAACATCACTGAGTTATTCACACTTTGGTTTTAGGCGATGACTCACAGTTTTATATTTGTCTGCAGGATGTGAGGCAGTTTATTCTGTTTCATCTGAGCTATCAGGAACTAAATGTTTGCAGGCAGATTTTCTTAGTTTAGTCAAATTAAAGTTCAGCCGAGTCGATAAACTCTGAAGGCAGCAGGCTGAGTTTGTTCCCTTTATTTTACTGACTGTCCAGTTTATTCTGAGGAAGTAACAAACACTTGTAATGAGCTGTGTTTGAAACGATGGTTTCACATGTTATCACGTCCTAAAGTGAGCAGCAACATGTCCATGAATGTCTCACTGTGATGGTTTCTTCTGTCCATACTGGCCACAAACACATCCATGAAATCATGAATAAAAGCAGTTTGAATGGAAGAAGCGTCCATGAAAGTGACTCATAGCTGACTCTGATCATCACGTTTAACAACAGAAACATGTTGAAGAACGAGAGTGACAGAAAGAAAAAGTGAATGTACTCACAAAGGAAGAAGAAGCAGATCAGAGTGTGATGGACTTTCATGATGAGGCTCTGATGGTTTACTGCTGCCTCTCTTCTTCTTCACTGGAAACCAGGAACTTGTGACGCCTCACTTCTCTAACTGAAGGAGTCCCTCCTCCAAACACCACAGCATCTCTACACTCCTCCCCTCTGCATCCGTCTGTGTCTGCTGCAGGGCTTCCTGCTCATTCATGCACCTCTTTACATTTACATTTATCCCTGAAACCAGAATTCACATCACTAATTTAAAATGTGATGATGTGTTCAGCTGATTCTTCCACCTCAGCTAAAATTCATTTAGTCTTCTTCTAATGTTAAAACTCTTAAATGATCATAAGTGTCATTGTTATTTGTGCATATTTCAGTATCTGCTGACTCTGAGGTTGTAAATCTGTCCGACCTTCATTAAAGATGTTTTTCCATGAGATCTTTGGAATCTTGTGTTCATGTTTTTATTAGATAATTCCTTATTTAATTAACTTACTTACATAATAATGAGACTTAAATGTTACATCACAGCTAACATGACATCCAGCACAAAGACCCAGGATAGAGGATCATTCTTGTCCATTTTAAAAAGTTGCATTGAGGCTGTTTTTTGTCTATAACAGCTGCAACAGCTCGACTTCCTGTTGATCTCACTGAGTCTGTGGTGACTCGTGGCAGAAAAGGAAGCTGAACGTCAACACTGACCAAGTTTGACGAACTTATTGCTCAACAGCAGTGAGGGAACAGTTAATATCTTTCCTTTTTCTGTGCTGTTTTTACATGGAGAATTATTTTATTCTCACAATAACAAAGAGGAAACATCTCCACTGACCATGAACTGACTTAACATTCAGAATCTGAGTTTCTTTGGTAAATATGAGTTTCAGTCTGTCAGAGTTGCTGTGGTTGTTCTTGTTAATAAATTTCTTTTCTTCAAAAACTTTTTACAGCATTAGTTTTAAACAGTGGGCTGATACTCAAAGCAGAATCAAATAAAGGAAGTTCATATTGCTAAATTTAAAAATAAGACCTGCTGAGTGCTCGTACGTCACACCGTGTAAGGGTGTGAAGTCTATGATGGACGTGCAGTCCAAAAGAAAATCCCCATTTTATTTGTTTTCATGACTGACTCTGAAGTTGTGACACTCACGAAGATTTTTTTTACAGTCATTTTAATACTTAAAATTTAGCAAAGGGGAAATCTTTATGATGACGAGAAAGGGTCCAGTTTCCTGCTCAGTGGGTCAGGGTTACTGTGGTCCCACTCCTGAGCTGAGTCCAGCGCTCGAGGACGACCACTTGGCCACATGAGCCAAAAGTCCTCTTGGACAAATTGAGTTTTCCTCCTGAAAAAAGAGAACAAATAAAGGTGAAACTGTTGATCAGCTGCTGCATTTTCAATAATGTTTAGATTTGTTAACACAAAC